ATACTCTGTGTCCGGAAGCTTTATAAGACAGATGGCAATATCCGACCAATGTCAGCTATCCGGGGTCACCACCTGCTACCTGGACTGAGATGCCGGCTCAGGGCCCATTCACACCATCTCCAGACCAGACCGTTCCCCAAAATGCATCCTAATGTATCCCTATGCTATTTCTGGCCTCTGTTCACACCAGTCCAGACCAGACCAGAAAGATACAGCGCGTCTCATTTTGTCTGGTCTGCACCTGTAAGACAATTTTAAGCTAAAATAAAACCCACTTTCCGAATGCGGCAAAAATCGCAGTAAAACGCAATGCGCTGCATTCCAGATCTGGTCCAGAAAATTGTGTGAACCTACCCTCAGAGATGACATGATCAAGTCCTGCTCTGTGCAGTTCTTGGCAGACAATTGTCTAACACAGATCAGCCCCCTGCTGCTGCCTCTCACCTTGTGACTGGGTAGAAGTTACAATGTTGCAGATTGATGATCACTGGGGGAGGGGAAACTGAGGAAATGCTTTCTCCTGCCTTTAGATCCAGGTCCCCCTTCCATGCAGTGTGCGGCCTCCGGACGGGACCCGGAACATGGAGGTCGGGGAAATCTGAGAAAGACCCTCAACCTATCTCCTCAGCGTCCCGGGCCTCCATCCCCTCACCAGGCCTCTGTGTCCCCGGGGTGTCTCCTCTTCCTTTACTTACCCCAGCGTGTCCTCGGCCTCCTTTCCCTGGGTGCCCCGGCCTCCCTTCACCCGGCTTGTGTCTCCCATCACCTTCCTCGGTGTGTCCCTTACCTCAACCTTTTTAGGGTGTCACCTGCTTTAACCCACCCCTGTCGGAGTGTCCCCGGTCCCCCTCACCTGTCTCTGTGTGTCCCGGCCGGTCCCCCTGGCGCGGCTTTCCTCTGAGGCGTTGGTTAGTCCGGCACAAGATGGCGGATCCCGGCGGCCACGTCACTGGCAGAGAGAGCGCGCTGCGTAAAGTCCGTGCGTCACTGACATGGCGGCCGGAAGTTGGAGGTTCTGGGGCCTTGGAAGGGGCGGGGCTTCAGGGTGACTGACAGAAGCTGGGATAGCGAGGAAGCCATGGTAACTGGAGGGGGCGGGGCTCATGGGTGACAGACAGGAGATTTGACAAGAGGGAATCCTGGTAACCGTAGGGGGCGGGGATTCTGAGTGACTGACAGGAACAAGGACCGCGAGGAAGTAGTCATAGCAACCCGAGGAGGCGGGAAGAGTAACGCTGCATTTAGCACAACGGTACTAGAGTATGAGGAGCCAGATAATATACAATGTGTATACCCGATTTCTCCTCACTTCCTGTCCTGCGGAAAACGTTTTACCAGACAGGAAGCGAGGATAAATCTCAGAGTGATTGGCAGATAAAAAGGAGGGGCCTTCTAGTGATTGACAGAGAAGGGGAGGGGTTTGATAGTGATTGACAGAGAAGAAATGGGGCTTGCTAGCAATTGACAGAGAAGGGGAGGGGTTTGTTAGTGATTGACAGAGAGAAGAGGGGTTTTTATTTATTGGCAGAGCAGGGGATGCTAGTGATTGATAGAGGAGAGGAGGGGTTTGATAGTGATTGGGAGAGAAGAGGAGGGGTTTGATAGTGATTGGGAGAGAAGAGGAGGGGTTTGATAGTGATTGGGAGAGAAGAGGAGGGGGCTTGATAGTGATTGGGAGAGAAGAGGAGGGGCTTGATAGTGCTTGGGAGAGAAGAGGAGGGGCTTGATAGTGATTGGGAGAGAAGAGGAGGGGCTTGAGAGCTACTGACAGAGAGGAGAGTGGCTAGCTACTGACAGAGAGGAGAGTGGTTATTAGTGATTAGCAGAAAAAGAGGAGGGGCTTGCTAGTAATTGACAGAGAAAGGGAAGGGCTTGTTAGTGGTTGTCAGGGGCTGGGGATGGCCATAGCAACCAATCAGGTTTTTTTTTTTCCCAGCTGCATGTTGGAGTTGGAGGAACGATCTGATTGGCTGCACTTGGCAATCCTGCCCACAGGAGCGCTGATTGGGTGACATTTAGGTTTCTGCACTGTGGGGGCCGCGACACACTAGTGCCACTTCCAAATCTCATCATCCCCGGGTAGGTGTAATAGGGCGCACATAGTAATAGTCAATACGCCGCTCTTTCACTGGCCTCAGCGAGTCCTACTCATCCTTCTCTCCCCCCAAAAAATAAATAAATATATCACTTTTGGGGGGTTTACGTAATCTTCAGGCCTAAGCTGCGGTGACCGGGTCACTTTAAAATCAACCAACTGCTTTCACCATCAGCGGCAGCTCCGCGTTTCTCCAATGACTGATTCCCGTATGAGAATAAACATGTGAATGTGGAGGTGAATCCTGCGAGCGGCCACCTCTGCGGTCCGGTGCGATCGAAATGCTGCAAGCACTATTTTGATCGCGCCGCACCGGACTTCAGGCACAATGTGCCTTGCGATCCGGTGCGGACGATCGCATCGCGGCCGGAGGGGTGCCCAGCTACCCATGAGCTTGCAAATCACCCCTGACAACGACCAGAATTGATTATCAAAGATCCGCCTCCCATAGACTTCAAAGTCCGAACCCGGGCACATTCGCTCAGCCCTAGTGGCTGAACGAGAACCTTCCCGGCAGGATCACCATTGATAATTTTTAAGAAAAAGCTGCGGGACTTTTTTTAAAATGACATCACCGCGCTAAAGTACGGAGGAGATTTTTTTTGAACGTTAAGGGCGACTCCGTATCGAGCCGGAGGACACAGGTGACGTCCTTTGCGTTGCGCGACGGTCCGTGTTTGGTGCCCATGTCGAAGGGACGGGGGGTCCGGTATCCTGCGGGCATCTAAACGCATAGCCGGGTACATTGCTGATAGCATTCAATGACATTGTAGGGTGAATGTGCCCCCCCCCCCCCCCCCCCCCCCCGCCCGCCGCGCGCCC